AAAGCAGTAGAGGATGGCTTAAGTCCCTGGGCCTCTGCACCCACATGGGAGATCCAGAAGAAGCTCCTGGCTTCAGATCAGCACAGCTCTGGCCATTGTGGCCATCTGAGGAGTGATCCAGTAGATGAAAGACCTCTCTCTTTCTCTCTGCCTCTGCCTCCCTGTAACTCTGCCTTTCAAATAAATAAATAAATCTTTTTTTAAAAAGTTAAGAAATAGGATGATCCCTTGGAGTCCACTGTAGCTGTGTTTGCAGTCTGATTTTAGCATAATGTTTCCATGAGCGATATGCTACTCATTTAAAAAAAAATACAGACAGACACATAAAGTATTTCCTTGGACGCCTGAAGGAATCTTTACATTTTAGTATTGTAATGTTTTTAAAACTATGTTGTTCAATGTCACTTGTGTATTCCTGCCTAAGATGCATAAACTAAGTCTAACCATAAGGAAAGAGCAGGGAAACTCAAAGCAAAGAATCCATTTCTTGCCTGCTTGCTTGCTTGCATGCTTTTTTGAGTTACTATACTCTTCACAAAATGTCAATATCATAAAAGGCAAAGAAAATCTATGGAAGTTTTCCAGACTAAAGAAAACTAAATTGGTAATACAAAGGCAATGTCTGATCCTAGACTTGATCCTGTACTAGTGGGGAAAATTCTGGAATAGACATTGTTAAGGTCAACTGATGACATTGGTATACTGATGGTTGATGAGAAAAAAAGTATTCCTCAATCTTAAATTGACTGAAGTTGATAACTTTACTATGGTTATGAAAGAATATTCATGTCCATAAAACATAAACACTTGTACATCTTAGAGTAAAGCACCATTACATATGCAGTTTTTAAAGGCCTACATGAACAACATTTTTCAAATATTTTAAAAATTTTGTTTATTTTATTTGAAAGGCAGAGTTACAGAGAGAGATCTTCCATCTGCTGGTTCACTCTCCAAATGACAGTAAGATGGGGCTGGTCCAGGCCAAAGCCAAGAAGCCAGAACTCCATCTGGGTCTTCTATGTGGGTGGCATAGGCCCAAGTACTTGAGCCATCTTCTCCTGCCTTTCCAGGCACATTAACAGGGGGCTGGATCAGAAGTGGAGTAGCCAGGACTCAAACTGTCACTCCTATATGGGATGCTAATATCATAGGCAGTGGCTTAACCTGCTGTGCTACAACACTGACCCCAACATATGCAATTTATTCTCAAATAATTGGGGTGGGCTGTCCAATGATGAACCAAATGAGGCCAAAAGACAATCTGGCCAGAGGGTATATAGATGTTCAATGCCCTATTTTTACCCTTGGAATTAAGTTTGAAATTCTTTGCAGAGAAAAATTTTAAATGTCTGTCATTAACTTATTAAATGAAGGAGCCATCATCAGAGGTCTGTGTTCCAGTTCTGGCTGTCATCCTTCAGAAGTTCTGGAAACTGGGGCAGGTGTTGTGGTACAGCAAGTCAAGCCACTGCCTGGGATGCCTACATTCCGTGTCAGAGTGTCAGGGATCAAGTCCCACTTCTTCATCCTATCCAGCCTCCTGTAATGGGCACCCTGAGAAGTAGCAAATGATAGTTCAAGTATTTGGATCCTTGCCACCACGTGGGAGACCCAGATGGAGTTCCTGGATCTTGGTGCTCGCTCTCTCTCTCTCTCTCTTTTTCTCTCTCTCATGGCCTTTCAAATAAATATATAACATTTGTATTTAAAAAGAAATTCTGGAGAGCCATACTCAAATTATAAGGTGGTGCCTTGCTGAGGAAGTGTGTCTTGGTGCTGGAAACACTCAGGTTGATAGCCTTTGTGGAAAGAGTAAAAATACTGAATGTTCCATGGCAGATGTGAGTTTGTAATGAAGAATGCTGAGGGAGTTAACTCTTAAATGATCCCATATTTTCTGTTCAAGAATGTTTGCTTCATAAAAATTAATTGCTAAGCAGAAAAAAAAGCATTATGAAATGATTAAGAGAAAGTCTAACTCATGCTAAGGCAGAGAATTCAGAAAAGGGGTGGTCACAGTGGCAGGAGATGCTCCTTTGGTATGGATTCATTTTTAATTGTAGGCTATATAGAAAGTAAAGCTGATGGTCAGTCCTCATTTGCCTACTGACAAAATATCACGTTATTTTTCCCAGAGTCTCAAACATAGACTTGCAATAAAAGGGGTGAACACTACCAGGGAATTTGGATGTGGCTAGTTTTTCTATTTTTTTAAATCTGATAACAGATAATTTGATAATGTCATGTAATTAAAATTTCTGGCTGTTTTCTCACTGCTTTGGAAAACAGCCTTCAATATCAGACTGGTAAACCCATTCTGACCACCCTGGTGAAGTCTGCTCTGTGGCTCTGTGGTTTGTAGGAGCATGACCCACAATGCAGTCGTCTTCCTGAGTTGAGGGTGCTTCGGTGCCTTTTTTTTTTTTTTTTTTGACAGGCAGAGTGGACAGTGAGAGAGAGAGACAGAGAGAAAGGTCTTCCTTTTGCCATTGGTTCACCCTCCAATGGCCGCCATGGCCAGCGCGCTGCGGCCCGCGCACCGCGCTGATCGGAAGGCAGGAGCCAGGTGCTTCTCCTGGTCTCCCATGAGGTGCAGGGCCCAGGGACTTGGACCATCATCCACTGCACTCCCGGGCCACAGCAGAGAGCTGGCCTGGAAGGGGGGCAACCGGGACAGAATTTGGCGCTCCAACCGGGACTAGAACCCGGTGTGCCGGTGCCGCAAGGCGGAGGATTAGTCTAGTGAGCCGCGGCGCCGGCTGAGGGTGCTTCTTAAAGGAGGGGTAGTGAGGCAGGGAAGAGATGTGCTGGTGCCCCGGGGTTAAAGGGCCCAGCTTAGAAGCCAATAATAGAGAGCACTGACGGCTCAAGAAATTACACTTTTGCAAATAGTACATATGGGAGTAAGATATCAGTGGCTGTTATGCCACACAAAGGATTCATGTTAAAATGGCACAACCTTTGTTCTTATATCCTAAGCTGATAGAAAGCATGTTGTTCCCACAATTATTCCATCATCTTGTTATTTCCCATCCTCTCATTTTCTTTCTGCAATCTTTAATCACTCCTCTTTCACTTTCTTCACTCTTTAACTTGCTTTGTAGTTGATATTGGTGTCTTCCATTTCATAGGAATTAAATTAACATATTCTCCTTTGTGTTCTGGGCTCTAACTGACCTAGAAATACAAGAGTACTTCAAAACATTTTTGGAGTGGGAGGGAGGGAAGTGTCACCGTGTTCCTAAATCTGTAAATAGGGAATATAACACACTTGTATAACTTAAATAAAATTTTTTAAAAAGTAAAAAATTGTGGAAAATGGACTTAAAAGATGTTCATTTTGGTGCCAGAAGTTTTGAGATCCACACATATAGTGCATTTTTAAAAGCTCATGGGAAATGAGTAGTATGAAAAAACTATAAATGGATTTCAAATTTCTGCACAAAAATAAATTTACCCTTTAATTCCATTTTTATGCACTTTTTGATATTCTCTCAAATCATTGTAGCTGTTGACTTTTAGAAATTAAAGATTTTTGTACTGACCAGAAAAACATCTCAAGTTCTCAGTGCCACATGTCTGGGTATTGTGACTGCTTTACTGTGAGAAGGCATGCATAATGGCTGTTTGAAAATATTTTTGTATCAATATTGTTTTCTAGAATTCACCTTACTCAAGGAGGATGCATAAGAAATAATTATTTTGGCTGAATATTTTTTCTATCAATTAGTGAACCCATTTTCTGCAAGAGTCATTTTTTAAGTTCACATTTCAAGCATTGTAGATAACAGCTTCCTCTAAGAATATTTTTTAAAAAGAATCTACTAATTCCATTACAAGCTCTTGGCAATACACTTACCTAATATTACTTCCAAAAAGGAGAAAAATATAATAATTCCTATATATAATTAATAAGAGACCTCATGAGGAAAAAGCCAGTTGGACTCTAACAGGAGACCATGATTAATCTTAGTAAGCCTTGCTACAGCTCATGAAATAAACCAGCTGCAATGCAGATTGATGTAACATTTTCTGTGTCTGGAAATCTTCCAAAGAGCTGTCCTAAAGGATGCCAGTGTGATTTTAGGGAATCGTTGTCCCTATCTGGTCTTCAAGGATGAACTCTGAGTTACAGTAAATGGATCAAGAGTAAAGGAAAGCAGTGAAAATGATTTTTAAATTTTGGAAATTTACTTTTAGAAGGAATGCTCACCAAATAGGGTTGATACAATGATTAAAATAGAAGTGGTAGGAAAGCTATGTCAGTACAATCTCTAATTTATGAAAGGCTGTGGCAGAAATGACAGTGAGTGGACATGTCTCTCTAAAGGCAATGGTAATGAGAAAGTTCAACGTTTCAGGAAGAGTATTGAATTGCATCAATTCAAACTGAACAGCAGGCATCAAAAGAAACATTGTTCTGGCGATACCTTTCCTTATTTTTAAGAGTAAGCTCTCCCTTGTGAATGAATGAGCTACACTTACTCATGCTTAGGAGCAGAAAGGTAAACCAGCTGGTCTTCAGATTACCCAAGATGATCTATCCCTTTCAACCACAGGATCTCAAAGCTGATAGGAAGCCCTGGTTTTATCAATTAGGACTCCAGTTTAAACGGTTGTCCAAGGTCATGCAGGTAGACGTGGTCACCTTGAAACAGCAACCCACGTCTCAACCTCCAACCCACTGTTATTTTCCCAGTAAATGAAACTAACTCTTTGGTCTATTTACATCACACACACAGAAAGTGAAATCCTGTCCATGTTAGTTTGGAGGAACATTCTATTTGCTTCTTGACTTTCCCATAAGGTCTGGACCTTAGAGTGGACAGAGCTTACATTCCCAAGTGAGTGTTCAGTCCTGTGAAAACCCAAAGAAATTAGTTTCTGCTAAGGTCACAGATAGTGGTCCCCAGGCCCACTGCTGCCTGTGACTTGACTTCCAGAGGGTATCACTGCGTCTCACTGTTGACAGAATGTCTTCCTGTTTGCCTCTGTAGGTTTCACAGCTGCAGCCTCCCTCGTGTCCCTGGCTTGGGCCCTTGCCTCCTACCAGAAGGCCCTCCGGGACTCTCGGGATGACAAGAAACCCATCAGCTATATGGCCGTCATCATCCAGTTCTGCTGGCACTTCTTCACCATCGCCGCCAGGGTCATCACCTTTGCCCTCTTTGCCTCCGTGTTCCAGCTCTACTTTGGGATCTTCATCGTCCTTCACTGGTGCATCATGACCTTCTGGATCGTCCACTGTGAGACGGAATTCTGTATCACCAAATGGGAGGAGATCGTGTTCGACATGGTGGTGGGGATCATCTACATCTTCAGCTGGTTCAACGTCAAGGAAGGCAGGACACGCTGTCGGCTGTTCATTTACTATTTTGTGATCCTTTTGGAAAACACAGCCTTGAGCGCCCTCTGGTACCTCTACAAGGCGCCTCAGATTGCAGATGCGTTTGCCATTCCGGCGCTCTGCGTGGTGTTCAGCAGCTTTTTAACTGGCGTGGTTTTTATGCTGATGTATTATGCCTTCTTTCACCCCAATGGACCCAGATTCGGGCAGTCACCAAGTTGTGCTTGTGAGGACCCCGTCGCTGCCTTCACTCTGCCACCGGAAGTGGCCACGAGCACCCTACGCTCCATCTCCAACAACCGCAGCATGGTCAGCGACCGCGACCAGAAATTTGCAGAGCGGGACGGGTGTGTCCCTGTCTTTCAGGTGCGCCCCACTGCCCCGTCCACCCCATCATCTCGTCCACCACGGATTGAAGAATCAGTCATTAAAATTGACCTGTTCAGGAACAGGTACCCAGCGTGGGAGAGACACGTTTTGGACCGAAGCCTCCGCAAGGCCATTTTAGCCTTTGACTGTTCCCCGTCTCCTCCAAGGCTGCAGTACAAAGATGATGCCCTTATCCAGGAGCGGTTGGAATACGAAACCACTTTATAGAACAAATGGACCTACAGGAGCCACAAGGTCCAGTTGAAGGGTGACAGCAGGGCTGTGGCAATAAGGACAGTTATCCTAGAGTAGGGCAGTGAGCTGTGATGTTCTTAGTCTGACCATCATTATGATCATCGTTTGATTCCCCATCAGCTGACTGTTTGCTGCTGGTCCCCTTTCAAACCAGCAGCACGGAGTCTCTTATTCCACCCAAAGGATGAGGCCAGCTGGGTGCGACTGTGGCTACCACACCCCTCCTGCACACAGTCTTGGAGCATATCTGCCAGAGGGCACCATTAACATGGAAAATTCTGCCTCTGATCAATAGGGTGTTTTGATGGAGTTAACTGATCTTTGCATAAAAATATGTTGAGTCATACACACACATCTACACACTGACACGCACACAACACCAGTTCTCTGTCAAAATAGGTTAGGTGATCTTTCTTGAGGCAAAGTTCAGATTCCCGTGGGAATATAAACACCAAGAGGAAGGGAGAATACATCCCTCAAGACTCCAGAAAAAAAAAAAAAGTAATAGCACTTAGAAAAGAATTCATAAACCATTTTCTCATTTGGAAACAAATACCGTGCGTGAGATGCCTATCCAATGGACAACCCACTCAAGTGTGTTTACACGTGTACTGCCATAGACAAAATGGTTCATGTCCTACACATTTCAGGATTTGTTGTTCTTTTTTTAACTTTCAGTTGAGAACGTTCTTTACGACAGAAATCCTATGCAGCACATGTATGGCTTTTGATGCGAGCTTGATGACTTCGTGATGTAACTTAAATGATTATCGTGATTCAGTATTCAATTGCAAAAATTCAATAACTATACAAAGAGGAAGTGGAGGGGGGAGGCAAAATGAGAATCTGGTTCCCAGGCCTGTGCAGCTCACACTGAAATGTTGCTGGGCCCAAATGCAGAACAAGTGGCTCTGTGGGCAAATAAAATTGTACAAAAAAATTTGTACAATACAAATGACTCCATGCCACACCTTTCTAGTGCCAAACACCGTAACCACAGGACTGACAGGCAATCCCCTAGCAACTGAGAATGAGTGGCTTGAGCCCCCTAAAAGTGGACAAGAGAATGAACAATCAAGTTCTCCACTGTGTATAGACTGCCCCCGTCCCATCTGAGGTCAAAGTGATGCATCTTTTAGAGGCTTTGGTACACTTTTTAGTAAGTATAAGCAAACAAAAGCAGTGAATACGCTATGAGAAAACCCTTCCAAACTGATTGAGGGCTTATCACTATATCCAGCTAATATTTGTATTTGAATCATCTGCAAAGTCGCACTCTTGCAACAAGCTTCTGGGTTTTAAATACCTCCGCACAGCAAGTAACTGTTCCGCTTTCTGTTCTCAGTGTCCTCGGTCATGGTGCTTTTTGTTGCATTAAAAGTGCCAGTCAAACTTTGATAGTATTTTTTTATAGTTGGTGCAGAGTGGAATAACTCATGGATTATTTCAATATTTTTGTAATAAAAATATAGGGTATACACATAGACATCATCACTTTTTTTATAGACCTGGAATTGTTTAAAATACATTCAGCATCATAGTCACTTGGGATGTCAGAAATTGGTCCACAAATTCCATCAGCCTGCCTTGGCAGATTGAAAACACCTGTCTCTTGCAAGATCACCCTATTTTTGCAAGTCAGTGCCCCTAGGAACCTGGCCAGGGGTGCTATCAGTGCTTCAGGCGAAGAGAGAATCAGCTTAACTAGAAAGGGCTTGTCATGACTGGCCAATGTTTCCCAGGAGGTCAAAGATGTAAATGGTTATTTTCATCCATCCATTATAACACACCTGGCCACAGTGGAAGATGTCTTAAACTTCCTTCCCTGGTTTTATAAAAACCCAAGTGATATATTAAATACCAATCAAGATACTAAACAGAAAGGAAAATGTTTAACTTAGTTATTGGGACTGCCGAATTCACTTAAAATAGTCATGTTCCATAGCCACCACCTCTATCGGGTGTGTCATTCAGAACCGCTGTCCTCATGATGACATCCACAGCAAGTTACAGAGGTTCAACCTAGGACTTTTTTTGGTGCAAAACCCCAAAGTGATTTTTTTAAAAATAGACAATTTTTATCAGTAGACATTCTTCATACTACTCCATGATTTGATCCTCCAAGCAAGATTTCCACTAAAAATTAACTTATCCTTTGTTGGGAAGTGGAAGGATTTCCTAGTCACCAGTAGAGGCCCTGGAGGACGCTCTTCTTATCAGCGGTTGGTGAGAACTTTGCACCCCCACTGTAGAAGGACAAAAAAAAAAAGAGAGAGAGAGAGATTACTTTGGCAATTCTTCACTTTTGAGCAGAACCATGAGTTATTAGCCTTGTTAGTTCCAAGACAACTTTTAACTGATGATCTATGGAAATTGAATCTCTCAGTTGGACTATACCTTTGATCCCATGAGTAAATATCAGTATAATAGTGTCAATGAACACAAATCCAACAGGCCCCATCATTCTTCAATCACGTAAGTTCTAACTTCTTTCTCAACTTGATCCCTCATGTAATACATTAAGAGTTGAAACGGCTACTATGTAAATAAAAAATAATGTACTGTGCTTTGTCTTGGAGGTGACACTAGTAGTCAGAAGCTTGAATTTTCTCCAAAAATGTAAATACTCTGTCATACAATATACTTGAAGATGATGATGATTTAGTGAATCATGAATTCTTGTTAAGGAAGTGCCATATCCAAAATGTTATAAATGACAACCTTTCAAAAGATTACAAGAACAAACACTTGCTTCCAAGAGCCATGGTGATTGAATCATACTTTCATGATTCAAAAAGCACTGCACAGCCATCATACTGGTATGGGAATACAAATTTTGCCAGTTTTTAGATGCAGAGTTTACACAGAGTTTGTAGTATTAAGACCTAAAGCAATGTATTCAGTGTATAAGGGAACTGTTTGATTTGTGTATTCATATTCTAATCTTTCCTAAAATTTAATTTTTAATTTATCATAAACCCTCTACAAGGAGGAACTGGAGAATCCACAAGGATTAGCTGTGGTTAGTGTACAAATTGGAACCACTGATCCCACATCTGTGAGCTCTGACTTCCTCGCCTTCAGGGATTTAGTCCACATAAGGATATAAAGAGAGGAATCTGCTCTCAGTGTACCCACTATTTGCCTAGAGTCTTAAAATCTGCTAAGGGAAAATAACTACTTTTTTGATGTTCAAACAAGCATTTCTAAATGAAACCACACTTAAAGAACATATCTATATCTATCTATCTATATATATATATATCCCAGAAAAGTACAAAAAGTACTTCAATTTTCTGGAAAAAAAGGAATTTCAAAAGTTAATTTTGGTGCAGAAAACTGTTGAAATCCATGCATAGTTTATTTTTCATTTTCCATGAGCTTTTCAAAGATATATATGTGTATACTTATATAAAATAAATATATATAAATCTATCTTAACATAAATATGCATGAATATATATCTTATAACACACATACATATATCTTAAAATGCAGATAGATATTTATCTTAAAATACAGATAGATATCTGTCTTAAAATAAAGACTGGTACTTTAAGTATTTGGACGGAAAAAGAAGTTTCCTGTAGAAATCAAAGTGTGCTCCCCTAGACTATCCTGTTGGCCCATTCACATGGCCTTACATGGGTTGTCTGTTTCAGTAACTCTGACTTTATAGATACCCAGTTCATTTGTGATGAGTGCTAGGAATCTCACAAATAAAACAAATCCTCTCATTGATGTGAGAAACTCAGTATTATCAAAAGATAAATACAAAGACAACCTGACAATAAAGATAAAATGAAGCATTTATGGCTCATTTCTAAATCCCCGACTTATTTTCCTCTAAGAACAAATGATGCAATTCTAATGAGCAATTAAAAATGCATGAGAATAATGATATCCCAGTGACATTTAAAAAAATCAAGTATACAAGTATATATGCTTTCCCAACTAAAGGAATGGAGATAAAGAGCATAATTAGTGGCCTTTAATGCATCTGAAGTGGTGTGTTATTGATGTATGAACTTTCAGATAAGAAAACTTTTCCTTCAGCATTTCCACAATCATCTCATCCTTACAGTCCATGGCTACAAGACATTGATACATGTATGAACTTCATTTGGAGAACCCTGGATAGAATTCAGCATTCCTCAGCTGAGTGAGCTTTTTCATTACTTAAGGATCTCATCTTTTAAGTAGCTGAGTAGAATAGCTTTGTGTCATTTCAAATTTTCTTTCTCTGAACAGATAGAGTTGAGCAAAAAAATCTTCTGATGTCCTTACCAAGTTTGTATAAGGTTATGCATTTGCTTTTAAGTTTCCAAATGCCATTAAGTGGAAACAGGTTCTGACAAAATGTTTAGACAAGAATTCAAGGATTTTTTTTTTCAAATGAACCATTTTCTAGACTAAATATATGCTCTCTTGCACTTTCCACACATCCTTGCCATTAGCCATTACCATTTCTATAAAAAACTTGCATGAGACTGGTGCATTTTTATATTTCTAAGGAGAGTTCCTTAAAGCCTTTTTAAAAATAGCACAGCCTGTCTTTCAGAATCTAGTGTAGAGGATGGTTGATGCTCATGGTGACAGCACCGCGGGAATGAGGTGGCCCTTCCTGGAATTTCAGTGATGGGTTCAAAGAAGTTCACTTCATTCCTTCACTTCACCAATGCAATGCCACTTTTGAAAACAATCAAAATCACTGCTTCTGCCAGCTTGTAACTCCTAACACTGCTTCTCCACCTGATGCTCTCAAGCTTTCCGGAATGGCTGAGGATGGTCATTGCAGCCCAGCCCGTGTCTCTGCGTCTCTGGTCGGGCCAAGAAATGATCTGCATGCTTGGGTATGCGCGTACCACAGCACCAGGACACTGCAGAGCTCTTTCTGCCTACGTATGTCTTGTCCAGTTGCTGTCCTAAAAATGGGCTCATGGAAAGATTCCCAGCACGTGCCTGTGATCGACAGCCTCGACAGGTTCATTACTCATCCCAAAGAAAAACTGCAGAGTGTGGGTGGGATTGTACAACAACATAATGAGCCATTTAATTTTGTTAATTGTAGCAATTAGGCTAACTCACAAGCCGCCTGCTCTAGCAGCAGAAAGCCAAATGGAAGAAGTGGCCAACAGCCATGTGCCCACAGGAATGAGGGACTCAGAAACTCTCCCTAGAGTGTTTGAGGTGTCATGTGGTTTCGTTATGTATCTGAAGCTCTGTCTCTGGATTCCACAAGAAGAAAAATAATCAGACTTTTGTTCTACTGCATGCAGTAATCTAGCCCAGAAATTTAAAACTCAGTCAATCTGGGGCCTATGTTGTGCTAAATAAGGCATGGCTGAATGTCTCTGAAATGTTTTCACAATATATCGACACAGCCCAAAGTCAGAAACAAATTGAATAAATCAAATTTTTGCTTTGGTCAGTTTAGTTCCCCTTAGATTTTCTTGCAGTTCCATTATCCATGTTGAGAGTAGTTTACTGGGATTAAGTGGTCACCACTTGGCCAGTGCTGTGCTAAAGATCTTTGTCTATGTGATCTCATTTAGCCTTCACAACCGCCTTTGAGTGAAGCATCACTTACAGAAGGCAAAATGTCAGCTCGGGCATGGTAAGCAGCTTGTCCAAGACTGCAGTTGGCACACAGCGGAGCTGAGAGTCAAACACAATTTTTCACAACTGCAACTCCTTCTAGAAGAACAGCGAATATTTTGATTATTCCCATCAAAATCTATTCCTGATTTGACAGATCTTCAGGAGAAACAGAATCATGATAGGATGATCAGATTTTTCAAAGAAAATTTCATTTAAAAGCTAAATATATCTTTCAAAATTAAAAGTTAAAGATAAAATGTCAATAAAGAGAAATGGAATCTCTATTGCCTGTATTCTTCCAGTCTGGAAAATGCTCCCTCTCACATGACTCTACTCTGCCCTAAATTAAGTGATGAACATCAATTAACTTGGTACCTCTTCTCACATTTTTTATATGTGTATACCACTGTCATCTATCTAGGCAGATAGAAAATTAACTAAACCCCATTACTTTGATAAAGAAAGTGAAGGAGAGAGAGAAAGGGAAGAAAGGAAAGAGGTTGAGCTTGGTTACCTCTTCAAAGTGACATTATTTTCATTTTATAAGATAAGCCTGTTCCATTGCCATCATTTTTCCTAAATTTTATTTGATATTTTAAAGTCACAAAATTTAGTTTTTACAAAGAGCCTTGTCTTAGATCAAAGGGATAGATGCAAAGAATGTAGCAATATAACAAATATTTTGTTAATTTAGTTATAAATTAATTAATGCTATATCTCCCTTCTCAGTTTAGATGCAGCATGCCTAAAGATTTAGAAGATGAAAGTTTAGTGCTATAATCCATTGAATAATATTGCATAGTAAGCTCTGTGTCATGTTTTAATTAATAATATTAACAAGGTAACCAATAATAAACCAGGAATTTCCTCAACCCCTGGTTTTCATTTTCTAAAAGGTTTCAGTGATCAATCTGAATGTAATACATTTTTTAAGAATTTATTTATTTGAGAGGTAGAGTTACAGACAGAGAGAGGGAGAGACACAGAGAGAAGTCTTCCATCCACTGGTCTACTTCCCAAATGGCCACAACTGCCAGAGGTAGGCCTACTTGAAAAAAACAAGATAGGAGCTTCTCCTGGATCTCCCACATGGATGCAGGGGCCCAAGCTCTTGGGCCATCTTCCACTGCTTTCCCAGGCCACAGAAGAGAGCTGGATAGGAAGAGGAGCAGCCAGGACACAAAATGGCATAGAGGAAGGCTTAGCCCACTACACCATAGAGCCAGCCCGTGAGTGTAACATATTAAAATGTAAACAGTCATCTATCTTCCTACTTTGATTTGATTTAAGCAGATCTTTATGAGCTTACATGAGATTATAAGCCATTCATTTGTATAGAAAACAGCCTCAGAAGGAAATATGTGTTACTTCATCAGCCTCTTTTTATAAATGAGACAACTGAGATCTAAGCGTATCAGGTAATTTCTGTGTTCAGTATCTTACATTAGACTTTTACTGATTCTGTCCAGTCATTCATTCAGCAAGAATGATCTCCAGGACTAGGACCACTGGGCAATGCGCCCCCAAGCACAAAAGGAATCTTGCACCAGAGTAGCTCACAATTTCATGAGTAGTGGCATCAATTTCATAACTTCAGCTCTCTTTTCTACTGTACCACACAGATGCTTCTCTTCCTATTATCCATATTTAATTTTATAACAGGAACAAGTATTTGGCACATCAGTTAAGATGCTGCTTGGGATGCCCACATCTCATATCTGAGTGCCTGTCTTGAGTCTTGCCTCCATCTCTTCAGACCAAGCTTCCTGCAACTGTACACTATGAGGCAGCAGATGATGGCTCAAGTGCTTCGGTCCCTGCCACCTACTTGGGAAACCCAGTCTGAGTTGTAGGCTCCTGGATTTGGCCTGGTCTGGCTGTAGCTATTGTGATTATTTGGGGAGTGAAGCAGCAGATAGATCTCTCTCTCTCTCTCTCAGTCTCCCTCTCTCGTTTTCTCTCCATCTACCTTTCAAATAAGATGAAGATAAACAGGTAAAAATATTAAAATAAAATTTAAAACCCTGCTAGTAATAATAATTTTATAATAAAGCCATCAAAAACAAAAATATTTCCAAGACTATATTAGCAGTCACCATACCAAATGACAAACATAATGATGTGCATACAAAGATAAATACTTGATGACTCAGTAAAAAGAGAAAGCAATTTTATAACTTTTAAAAAATTTTTTTTTAAATTTTTTGACAGGCAGAGTGGACAGTGAGAGAGACAGAGAGAAAGGTCTTCCTTTGACATTGGTTCACCCTCCAATGGCCGCCACGGTCAGTGCACTGCGGCCGGCACATCACGCTGATCCGAAGCCAGGAGCCAGGTGCTTATCCTGGTCTCGCATGGGGTACAGGGCCCAAGCACTTGGGCCATCCTCCGCTGCACTCCCTGGCCACAGCAGAGAGCTGGACTGGAAGAGGGGCAACCAGGACAGAATCCGGCGCCCCAACCGGGACTAGAACCCAGTGTGCCGGCGCCGCAAGGTAGAGGATTAGCCTAGTGAGCCACGGCGCGTGCCATAACTTGTTTTTAATAGCTCCAACATCAGATAACTTTGAATAAAAGTAAAAAAGCAACAGAAAAATTAAGATACTCTCATAGCATATAGTATTTAACTGAAAGCAGCCACCTCTGAATAAATTTTGGAGATATGTCTGAGAATTTCTTTCAAGAAAAGGCACAAACTTAAGGAGCTCCTGAGGTCTCTGTAGAGATTTCCAAGATGTTGCTTCTCTGAGTTTCAGGAAAGCATCCTTCACGGGTGCACACTGGATGTTGCCAGCAGATGTTATTTAGGAACAACAAATTTCCAATCAACTTCAGCTATTATAACTTGGGAGGTTGTTTGATGAAAGCCATACCTCCACAGCCCAAAACCAGGAGTCAAGATAGCCAGCCCAGACCCTGGGCATCCTCTGGCTGTCTTTGGCTCCAGTCCTGGTAGCTCTTGCAACATAGTGCAAAGAAAATGGCTTCCCACAGATGTATGGCTCGCATTACTAAAAATCACTACTAATCTGTAAGACTAGTTTTCCTTAAGAGAAATAATTATGGTTAGGGAATTATAAATCAATTGGTTTGCTATGCACTAAAAGAGGAAATAAAGCGTATTAATTTTTGTGAGCACAGAGTAATTTGAAGAATTCCCTGATAAGCTTCATTAAGCATTAATAAAAGAGCTGGTGTAACCATATTGCCCCGTCTGTACCAGGATTTCTAGGCTTGTGCTACCGTTACTATTTTCACTACTCTGACTGTTGCTGTTTTAGCCATTGCACCAGAGGAGAAGAATGCAGTTACGGATAAGATGTTTGCAGAGCAAAGATCATGTTTAACAAAACAAATCAACACCAAATTAATTAAGGAAAATAATAAGCAAATATCATCAGTACAGTGCCAACACAAATTTTTTCTTGTGCTGTTATTGAAGCCTGTCACCTGCTCTGTTATTAAAATTGAATAAAATGCAAGGTTTTGTGTTTTTATTGAGCTTAATCGACTGAATTAAGTAGGTTGGCCCTCTCTTCTCTCCACTGCTAGATTTGCATTAAAATGGAATTAATCAAATTCTTACCTAATTGAAGGGCTAAAAATATTAACAGAGATGTTGTGCTTGAACCAATTTAATTTGACTGCTCTGGTGGCATTCTGGTGTGGAGATGTATCAAATTAACAATATTAATTATTTCAGTGAATTAATTTATCAGTAAATCCTAAGACACCCCTAAGTTGTTTGAAAACATATTTCTGGTTCTTATCATTGGAAAGAATTCTTACTTCAGTCACAAATCAGCAGCACATGTCTTAATTAACAACAGTATTTCAAACCATTGTGATTCTGGAAAGGGAACCCTAGAGGTTCCGTGTGTTGGGCACTGCTACATTCACTTAGCAATTAACCTTTGAATTGTGGTATTCTACTGGGTTCTCTATGATTTCCTATTCAAATTAGAAGCCACAGCACACACTGGTGTAACCAATGGAAACCTGTCAGCTAGTGAAAGAATTGTCATTTTTTATCCTCCTTTCAAAAAATTCAAATATTCAACATCCATTATTAACCTTAGCAATGCTCTATACACAAAAAGCGAAGTGAATCTCTAAAGGATGTTTGGAAAGCCTGTGTTGAAACATATTCCCTGGTCTGAATCAGAGACATGGTGCTCTGTGAATTGGAAGGGGAAGGGTGGCTATGAGCCAGTCATAGCAGAAACAAGGCCTCGCTTGTCGCCAAGCTGCACATTGCTGATGCTATTGATTCCCTTCTTTTTTTACAGAAGCATCTTGGAACTTGTCAAGTTTAACTGGAAATGATTCGCAGTTCATTAATTCAACTGACACTTTATTCCTGCAAATTCTTGACTTGTAATATTATAATCAAGCTACTACAAGGGAACATTAATCAGTTTGTGGAAAGGGAGCACTTCCTTCGAGGGTGAGCCATGAAGTACCCAGGCCTGAAGATAAAGACCTCTGTGAAGCAGAGCTAATGAATTCGTACAACCTGGTTCCTCTTCATCGATGCTAGGAACATACAGATGCTTCATTTTTTATGCCACTAAGTGTTGCTTTGGGAAAGAAAGAGAGAGAGAAATTTATCAATGAATTCTTGGGGGCTTGTGCAGCTCAGAGAATGGGTATGAGTCATGGAGAATTCCTTTAAGTGGATTCAAATCCACTTGTTTGGAAATGAAAAAAAGTCACTGTCACCTGTTTAGTCATTGACCTTTGTCTGCATACAGTTGCTGCTTTTACTGCATTTCTTGAGACTACCATTATTAGCTTTGTAATAAGCAATTTGTAAAAATTGAGTTTATAATTCAATTTCAGAGGTAAAATCTGTGTGGATATAGCTATTGAATGATTTGATTCTCTGACTTGTTAGATGATGACATTATCACTTCCAAACTGAGATCCATTTCTATGTGGAATTAGCCACCCTATGGCTTCTCAGATCACACAGAACCTTGGTTACACGCTCCAAGATCTCCACTATGATATTCTTAATGCCTCTGTGTTCACTTAGAAGTAAACAAGTGATCTCATAGTTTTAAATTATAGTTCTCTCCCACTTGCTTCTCTTTTTTTCAAAGATTTGAGTTATAAGGTAAGAATGAGGTCATCAGACATTTTCAATTTGATCATAGTTTCAGAGTATTCAAGAGAGTCACGTATCCATATGTTCTTATGAAGTCTTCTGTCTAATCTTTTGTTGTCACAGTTTTAGGAATTAGCCCTAAATGAATGAGTGGAAGTAATTAGATCAAACCAATGGTAGTCTAGAAGAAAAGTGAGACGAGAAAGAAGCAGGGATCGTTTTTCTTGTGCTTCAAAGATGTTTCTCTTCCTACATGATCATCTTGGTGGTTGTCTCCAAGATGCACCAAGAGCTACTAAATAATAATCCAAGTTCTCAACTCTAGGATCACAGCCAGTCCTTTATGAGAACTAGCTCTTGGCATAAGCACTGAAATTGAATAATAGAAAAGTGGCCTACCACCATGTGACTTACTCTCAATTGCAAGGCAATGAAAACGTGCAACTTGAAGAAAAGTTCATTTTTGAAGTCTAAAGAGAACTTAAGCACAAAGACACTCTGTAACATACAGTGAGGTGGTTGACTGTGGGGACAAAGGAGCAATAAACAGTCCTCTTGGACAAGGCTTATGGGAAAGAGTGACCATAGCAGTGCTGGGTGTTGGGATAAAGGGTTTCTTTCCATTAGAAAGGTCTAGGTATGGTGACTGAAGAGAAAATCTCTCAGTGGCTCACCAGGAATATTTGCTTTTTTACAGAAACAAGTTTAAGGTAGTCACTGACGTTCCATAACCAGGACAACAGGCTTGAGAAAGGCCAAGGCCTGACTAGCATAGGAACAGGGAGCAGAAATTCGCGGTTTCATGTCTGAGACTGGCTGTCTCCTTAAGAGAACTCCCACTTTCTGACCATTCTTGATCACTGGCTCCATACACTGCTCTGTACACCGAGAGCTTCTGATGGATTATAAGATAGGATATTTGAAGGCATTGTGAGTCAATCTTGCTTGTAGAGCATGAAATATTTAATTGTCCATCCTTCTAACAACAATGGTATTCAGGGTTACCATGGCCTTATTCATCCTCCCATTGTAAATAGATCATGGCATCAGGAGTCTCTGTGTTCACACTCAGTAAGCCAGGTTTACAGGTACTAGAATCTTTTAAACATACTTTGGATCTTGATTCTGCCAATCACTTAGTCTGTGTATCTATTTCCAAACTGGAATCTAATTCTTGTGACAATGATTTTCAGAATAATGGAAACAAACCAACAAAAAAAGAACAGTTAAGCATTTTTCCAACATAGACAAACCCATTGGACCATTGATAGCCCTAAAGCTCTGATTTTTCCTCATGACCAAATTTCTTTCCATTTGAGGTATTTCAGCATCTGAATTTTTCGGACGATTGCTGAACCATCTTCACTAAACCAAAGTAGACAGTACGGCATTATTAAAAATAAAGACTGTCCATGCTAATGCAAACATCCCAACGAAAAGTGAAGAAGCTCATTCAAGTGGTAAATTTGGTCTTCTTGATAGTAAGCATCTGGTTACTATTAAGAAAAGTGCAGATACTGGAAGTGTATAGTTTTCTGTTTGGTTGTCTGGTATTGTATGAACAGACAAACTGCTCAGGTGATGTAGGTAATGGAATTCAACTTTCTGGTGTCATAATCAGTTGCTGGTGGTATTCTGTTGCTAGCAGTCTCTTTGTTGTGCAAAGAGAAATAAATGATGTAGAGCAAATGTTATTTGATTTTTATTTACTGTGGGAAAACACGTGGATGGAAGAAGTTCAGGAGGCTGCCCTGGGTATCATAGGTTTGACTGCAGCATTGCCCTTCTTCAAAGGGGTAGTTCCAGCAATCTTCCACTTGGCCCCTTTCAGGGAGTGAAACTTTTCCTTTGGATTTTGTTACATTTAGAGTTTTTATTGTCACTCTTCCACTGTTCATATAATCTTAATCACTCACAAAGTCTACTTTATGCAATGTGAAGGGTAATACAAATTCATTAACTTTTTATTTCTCAGATAGAAGTTTTCATGTCAAGCATTCCTTGCTATACCTTTTCACCATAGAAATTGTTTAAACTGCTTGATTTCACAGTGTCAACAGAAGCAAGAACTATTTTTCCAAATCAATAGTAATCTATAATTTTTTGTTTCATTGTTGATATTGTTCCTATTGCCAAGTGTTAACTGGTCTTTGTGAAAACTGGAATATTAGTGTTTTTACTTATAGTCACTGTTAAAATTCCCCAAAAAAAAAAGAGAAAAAATGGCATCAAAGGGTAATACTCTTTTCAGAAGGAACATGTGTGGTGTTCATATCAACTCGTGTATTTGTGATTATTTGTAGATGTTTCTTATAAGGTTAGGAAGATAATCTTGTTTATTTAGTGTTGGCTCTGGGTTGCTGAGCATGTGAATTTCTTCAAATTGTGTGCTTAGCTCATTTACCATTCAGAAGCTCTGCAGAAAAGCAAAGAAATTTAGACCAAATTTCTCTTAAGAGCTCTTATATTGCAGAACTTACTAGAAGGCACTGACTCTGAGCAGGCACACAGAGCACTGAAAGGTATTGAGCTATGCAAAATCTTGAGGGGATTTCCAGGGAAAATCTAAATATTTTGAAGGTTGGGGTTAGGTAAAATTTTCATGTGTCAAGTTCAATACTCAGTGCCAAGTTAGAACAACTTCCTGGGCTAAGCCATGAAGTTCTCTTTTGAGTTCCCCCTTCCCTCAAATGCAGAAGTTCCCTTACCTCAAATGGATACTCCACTTTGTATAGCAAGGACCTCCAGCCACTGTGGCACCACTGCCCGGTGCTAATTGTGTCTTTGGAAGGCGGGTCATGGCTACTGTGTAAAACTTTCAAAACCAGAAGACTCTCCAACATCAATGTGTGTAGCAACCCAAATTGGTTTTGCTTTTCTTTTCCCTAAGATTTTTACTTCCCTAAATCCTTTTCCAAAATTTTTTACCAACATGTTATTGACAAGATGTTTAGTTGAATTAGAAACAAAGAGATAAAAATCAATTGGCAAGAATAAAAAATTTGTTATTTTTTTCGGTTATTTTTGAATATGTAATCTTTGAATGGAAGTTATGGTTTAGCTGTAAACCCAAAATCCCAGTGTTGAACATAATGACTGTCTTCAGTAGGCTTAAATATATCCTATGAAGCAGTATGCTTTTACACTCCATTCCTGGACACAGGAATGTGAGGGGGCTATGGTCCAGGGACTAGAAAAAAGGGACTAGAAAACTGCACACCTGAGTCCTAATCCCTGGGCCATCTCTTTAGCTTCAGAAACTCACCCTTGGCCTCATTTTTCCCATAGATAGAAGAGAGATAATATTTATGTATCTACCTCGTGGGATGTTGTAAAGATTAATGAGTATTGGTGAAGTACTCTGAGATTAGAAATACTGTCACTCCCAATGATTGACATGAACCCAAGGAGAGCTATTTGCAGCACAAGGGTGGGCTAAGGGGTGGGCCAAGTTGTCTGAGGAACTCACCAGCAATAACTCACCAAGCAGAGAACAGTTATTCATCACTCAATGTAAGTAAAACTTTCCCTTCAAAGGTTCCTGTAGAACTTTGTAAATGATCAGCTTTTTAATGAGGAAATTAATTCCTTTCATACAGAACAATAATTTTCTTCTTAGCCAAACTGAAATTTTACTAAATGTTTATTAAAAATGTATCCAGAAAACTTGGTTCCTTCTGATGCCTAAGGAGTTTGCATGCCTGACCCCCATCTACATTTTCTGTAACCCATAGATGGTACCTCCAGTTTAGCACTAATGATTACCAAGTCGTGTTCCGAAATCTGCAGTGTGTGTGGGGGGGATCCTTAAGAGATATTATTGAGATTAAATTTTGTGTTGCTTACACTGAGTTTCCTTTTTATCCCTGATATTACACATCTCTCTCAACAAAAAAATGTAAAGGCCCATTCCTGCTTAGAACTCCTGAGTTGGTTCATTTTCATATTACAAGTACATTTCAAATATTTTAGAGAAATGTTACTCAAGAGCTTCAGTTTCTATCAATGTATATGTGAATACTACTGAAAGATAAAGGAGTTGGTAGGCAAACAACCTCAAGATGTCCTCGACAACTTCCTGCAACTATGGTGTTTTCTCTTACTTAAATGATCCATCCTAATAAGAGCTAATGCTAAATAACATTATTTGGGGTTATAAATATTTACAATTTTGAAGGTAAAGAGGTGATATCATGAGGTAAAAAGACATCCATGAAACAACACTAACAAAGCAGATAATGATTTCATGATGTGACTTCGGGTAGCAGAGTTGTACATAAATTTTATCATTGTGTCTTTACTTAATGATTATATTCCTTTGCAAATCTTTTTGTGTGCTCTTAATGGTATGATTTTAGAAAGTTTACCATGGGAAGTGGGTTTAAGATCCTGTTGTGTTTAGAGCTGATGTAGACATAACATACTTATTCAATATAATCTCTTCTGGATTCTAAAATCTACTTGATTGCAATATATCAAACTTTAAAATTTCCAAATCAGTTAAACATTTCTAGTGCATTCTCGAACATTCCAAATCACCCAGGCAATTAAAAAAAAATCTGTGCTGCCATTCAAAACTTAAGTATTGCTTTGAAATAAAATGAGTATAGTGAGTCAAAAAATGATTTTACTTTCCCTGGCTTTTTTTTTTCTAATTCCAAGTACAGCAGAAGATTCTTTTTGCTATGAAAAGAAATGTTTCTGTTTTTATTTGGTTTTGTACAAGAAAACTGAAGTTGGTAATATGGATTAGATACAAGGGCCTGAAATGAGCGAGGGGTGACTTTTCAGATTGCTAGGATGAGGGGGAGGCATGGGGAGATTCAACTACAGAGATACAAAACAGAATCCACAAGAGTTAGAGCTGGACAATTCCTTGAAAAAGTTATTCATCAAACAGGTAAAAAAAAAAAAAACAGATGGAGGTAGTGTGTTATTTAGCTATAAACTAGATATCTAGTTTCTGAGAGCTTGGAGGCTTGAGCCTCTTTTCAATGCTTTCCCAACCACATGGAATTCTCCAGAGCCCTCCTTGAAAGTCAGAAGCTCTGCCAGAAAAGCTAGTTTTCAACAAAAATATATATGACTATACTGCTTTGGACACATCATTTCTGTAACCATCACATATGTGATACTGTGTAAATGTAATTGCCGACTTTCACGGCTATTTCCAGTTAAGGTTCTATTCTGTAAACAAATGATAGAAAACAAATGGAAAGTCCTTTTTGTTCAAAGCAATTGCCTCCCAACTTATTTACGTCTGTTTATATCATTGGATTATTATTATCACAAAGTACCTTTGATGTTTAGATGGTATGAGTTAAATGAAAGAATAAATCTTGTGGTCAAGAGTTTATTGGGATCCCACCTGAAGCCTTTCTTTGGTTAAAGAGACTGGAAAACAAGGGGACCACAGTATTCTCTGGGTGAGAACTTAGCCTCTACTATGTATTTTCTGCTTTTCTTCTCCATCGTCAGAGAGCTCAGTAATCTCAGGAGAAATACAGTGGCCGATATGGAAATTATGTTTCTCCCTTTCTCAGAACAAAGAGAAAAACCAATGAGCCAGAAACTCTCTCCTTTGAAATCACATCCTGTTGAAGGCTAAGACACAAATTTTTTTAAAAAAGGAAATTATCCTATTGATTCTCTTCTCAGTTTCTACTCAATTCTTCTTAGTTTGGATTACATTTTCTAGGAATTACCATTCATGCCATTTTATCTGATATCTTCAATACAGAAATGGTGAGAGACAAGCTACAAATGAGATAACTACAGATATAAATTTCATCTGTACAATGTCCTATGAAGCAGATTGGAAATAAATTCTGCTACCACTAATATTCTGGTTTAAATAAAAATATTTAATAGAAAAATGGAAGTATTTTCTCAGCATTAAACCATTGCACAAGATAAACCTGCTTCTAAATAGCAAGGATTTTTGCTACTGATATTTGTTCTTCATTCTCCAGTTATTTTAAGTAAGTTTCACATCTAACTACCTCAACAATTGTTGTTTTGTTTAGACACATGAGATCATGCACTTTGTGATCAATAAGTCCTTCATTTAAAATTTCAAAAGGATACTTGGTATAAAGCAATTTGCAAAGTTGTGTACATGACGTAAGCAACCCAAACTCAGAAGGTTGTACTTCATTCTGTTTGTTTGTTTCTAAGCTTGGTTTGTGGTAAAATCCTCATTTCCACTCAAACCAAGAGAAGCTGCTCTATATTTGCTTAATTTGCCTTAAATATTTTGTGCTCCTTTCCCTGTTCATATATTTTTTTGTTTGTTTTAAAACTATCTCTGGAAACAGAAATGTAACAGGTGGCAGATGAACAGCAAACTGAAGAGAATGGACCAATAATTTCTCAGTTCCCTGTTGTCAACTATCTGCATGACATTCTGATTGCACAACATTGCCATTCCTGTGTGTCTCTCTCCATTCATAGAAATAAGATCTGAGAGCCCCCATGTGTGTGTAGAGAATTTCCCCAGTAGGAGCACAGTGCCTGGACCCGAATGACAACCTTGGCAGTTCTTGTGCTTTTACTTTGTAAACACTGTACAAATGTATTTGGAGTTTTATTTGAAATGAAAAATTAAATGAGTTATTAAATTTTTCCTGTAAATATATATATTCAAATTCCATGTATCCAAACATTCCTTTAGCGTTCGGATCGTAAGCGTGTCTGTATGGCTGGAGGCCTCTGCCTCCTGGCACTGACCCAATGTGCTCTAGTTCCAAGCACAGTGTGTGGAGTATTTGATGTACTACAGTACCATAGTTATTTTGGTCTGTTAAATAAGTTGCAATTTGTGATGAAATGAAGTGGAAAGTAGTACTTCACAATGAGCAAATTTCCTTGGTTACATGATTTTTCTTGTAAAACTTTAAAAAAAGAAAACTTGAAATTTTATATATTTGGATTTTGTAGATTTTTTTTTATTTTATTGCAACACAAGGTACCAAAATCATTAAATAAAGTACACTGTGGTCATTTTAACAGAAGTGTGAGTTGTTGATTCTTTTTAAGTCTTCCAAAAGAGCAAGACACCATTGTTGTTAATATAGGAAAATGTACACGTGGATCATGGGGTTTAAATCTTACAATAAACATAACTGAAATACACTTAAAATGAAGCTACATCACTTTTTAGGATGTTTCATTTCTTTTATTTCTGAGAAGTGCTAAAGAGTGTTCATCTAGAATAATTATGAATAAAGCAACAAGATAATTCAGGTCACAAAGAGGCTTCTAAATAATTACATAAGTTGTTTAAATATTAATTAAAATTATCAGTGAACAAAAGTATTTCTAAAAGATAATATATCTAGGCCGGTGCCACGCTCACTAGGCTAATCCTCCACCTGCGGCGCCACCACCCCGGGTTCTAGTCCTGGTTGGGGCGCCAGATTCTGTCCCGGTTGCTCCTCTTCCAGTCCAGCTCTCTGCTGTGGCCCAGGAGTGCAGTGGAGGATGGCCCAAGTCCTTGGGCCCTGCACCCACATGGGAGACCAGGAGGAAGCACCTGGCTCCTGGCTTCGGATCGACGCAGTGCAACGGCCATAGGGGCCATTTCGGGGGTGAACCAACAGAAGGAAGATCTTTCTCTCTGTCTCTCTCTCTCTCTCTCTGGCTAACTCTGCCTGTCAAAAAAAAAAAAAAAAAGATAATATATCTAAGTGACTGCTTTGTCTACAAATTAGGGTTTCTGCTTACTGTAATTGCTTTTCTTAAAATATTCTAATTGCTTTTTTTCAGTAATTGTCTTTTTTATTACTCAGAAGGTAAGAGTTCTAGTAGCTTATAAATGCCTGTTATAAAATATTAGAAGAAAATTGTAGCATAATGTCTAAGTATAGAAACTGCTATGGAAAACAGAAGCTGATAAGGAAATGATTAGAAAAAGAAATGAAAATAATTTAAAAATTCTCTTGTTTCTTTTTTGAGATACTAATTGGGGTTATCATCCTAACAGTAACTTATGCTAAATGTTAAAACACTTGAAACCCATCCTCTTGATGTACTTCTGTCTTGCCTTTTTTTTTTTTTTTGCAAGCTTATCTGTTTTTTGAAGCTATTAATTTAACAATTTTTTTTAAATAATCATATCTCTGGCCTTGCATGGTTTGAGGGTTATAAATATGAAAAATACATTTTCTTCTTAAAAATGCAGTATATTCAGGGAAGAAGTCGAGATACACTCATTTGCTATTATTTGGTGATGAAAGCAGAAATAGAGATGGACATAGACTACTATGGGAACACCAAACCCAGTGTCCCAGGGCCGGGGTCAGGGACAGAGTCACACCCAGGAGCCTGGATCTCTGAATTGGTGAATGGAGCAGAGTCCACATCCAATACTCTTAAATGAAAATAGATATACGTGAAACAGAAGCTCCTCCTGAGTTGGCCGCTCATGTTGGGGCTTTCTGTCAGGGCAGCTGCTCTTTTCTAACCTTTACAGGAGTACTCAGCAAGGAAGAGTCTTAGCTCAGTTCTTGTGGTGAGGCCCAAAAACAGAGGGACAAAGAAACAACTATTCTTCTGAATTTTTCATGTTCTCTATAATGAGTGTGTATCATTATTGTAAGCAGAAAATCAATTAAATTTATATTTATGATGATTTTTAAAAAGGAAAACTACACCATAATCTTGAATTTTCCCCCTCATTAATCTAGAAACCTAATACAACTCCAAAGAAAGCCACAAGGTATTTTATAAAACATGACAAAATGATTATAAAGCTTATATGGAAGAATAAAAACAGAAGTATTTTTTTAAACTACCTAATGCACTCCCATCCTATTGTAAGTTAGTATAACTGCAAGAGTTTGTTACGAGCACAGGAACATATAATCAGTAACTACACACACACACACACACACACAAGTCCAGAAACAGGATGTGTACAGAATAAATGAATGAATTTCATATGGTCATTTGTAACCAATATAGAAAGGATGACCTCATCAATAGATGGTCTTAGGATAATTAGGTCACCTCTAGGGATGTATTCTTGCCCCCAGATAGCATCATATGGATTAACGACAGACTTGTGGAAAAGTACAATAATAGCAATAGTATATTAATACATTGAGATGAGCAATACTTTCTTTTATTCCACATGCAAGAGAGATCACAAAAAGATTATAATCAGCAAGAAAATACAGCTATGTGTATACCTATGTATACGTGCAATTCCCTTTCCCTTAAAGAAGAAACAAATATCCGAACAACTGACAAAAATATTGACCCTCACTGGATTGGACAAATATCCTAAAAATATATATGTTTATATTCAATGATGTTTATGACATGAAAAGTTAGAAATGAATGAAAAGCAAAAGAAAGCAAACTATGGTATATCCATACAATGTAACACCCTGGAACAACTAAATAAATATAATTTAAGGTAGCTTTGTTGTAACAAATCATGATACTAGTGGTTAAAACTTTATTTTGAATGTAAAGAACAACAGAGTAAGTTTCTTGGTAAACTGATAAACAAAAATAGAGTAATATAATACATTGGAATCCCAAGCAAATGATGGCTTAATGAGTAAAGAATATTGAAAGGAAAGAGAATTCAGGCATTACCTAAATATGCAGTTACTTGAAAACAGTCTGGTCTAATGCAATCAGTTGACCAATAAGTAAGAAACTGGCAACAATGCTAGGTGTGAATTGAATTTATTTTGACAGATTTCTGAAAAAGGACTCACTACTTAGGGAGATAATTGGAAGTTCCTCTGAAGCGTTTGTAACCACAGCTGGTTTAGGAGACATGTCTAGATCTGAAGAGATTTTAGGAAAAGGTTGTTTTTGAAGCAACCAAGTAAATACTAAGAAAGATAAGAAGAGAATAGGAAATGGCCTTGGAGAGGAAACTGGGGCTGCTGGAAAAGTGTTGCAAAGGAACCCCTGTGGCTATTCAGTAGCATTCAGTATTCACAA